CCCCCCCCAAGCCAAGGAAACTGAGTCACAAGGAACAACGGGGGTGGAACGTCAAAGCACAGTCCCTGGCCCTCCCCCTCCATCTAAGGTCCAGTGCTTCCTGCCCGAGGTGAGGCCACGGTCTTGATCACCGAGGGGGTGTGCGTCCACCACGCCCTAGCCGTCCATCCTTCCCGCCGGCTCCCGTCTCCGACTCCTGGGGACTGGGCTCAGGGCCTCCTGGGGGGAGCTGCTCAGATAAGAACACACACACATCTCCACGAGAACAAGCCAAGCGGCAGGCAGCTGGCCTAGATCTACACCGAGAAAGCAGAGGTTGAGCTCACGACACTGGACAGGAGCGAGCAGAGCCTTGGCTCGCCCGGAAGCTCACGGCACGTGCCCGGGCCTGGGGGTGGCCGGCCGCGAGGGCACGGTCCTCTGCCCGGGGTTGACACACACCTCACGGGGGCTTTGCACAGGAACGATGGCTAGCGTGGGGGTGGGCGTTTGCTTGAGGTGGGTCACTAGGGGGCTTACAGATAAGGTGGGCCTCCAGGGACAGGGACAGGGACAGGAGCACCCTGCCCCGGGGACGGTGAATCGGGTTGGGATTTTGCCTGTTGGGAGAGCCAGGCAGCTGGCACCCTTGAGATGGACTCTCTTCCCCGACGTCTCCCAGTCCAGTGCAGGTGGCAGGTGACCYCAGCCCCTCTCCCCACTTCTAGGCCTGCAGCCCTAGACTGGCAGGGTTTGGGTTTGGGGCTTCCATGAGGAGGGGCACCCCTCCTTGCTCCTTCTGGTGGCAAATATGGTCTTTGGGGTCACTGGAAAAGTCTGGTGGTGGTGGTGGCCAGGGCCCCTTTGGGGAGCTGGGGGGATCCAGGGGCTTGGTTTGGGCTGGGTGAGCCCTTCCCTGGGCCCTGCTCCTGATGTGGGGTGAGGGTAGGCCCTGGCCCGAGTCCTGCCCCTCCCTCCAAGGTTCTGCTGCCTGAGAGGAGAGGAGCCCCTGGGCCTTCTGAGCCTATTCACCTGGGGCAGACTCGGGGTGGCCAGTCTCCCCAGCCCCATCCTCATTTCCTGACTCCTCTGGGATGTCCTTGAGCCCCTCCAGCACGGGCTCCTCAGCTTCCTGCTCTTCTTCTGCCTGGGCCAAGCTCTCTGGCCCACAACCAGGCCCTCCTGGGCTGGCATCAGAAGCACTGCCCATCTGAGCTGGGGCAGGGCCTCCTGGGGCCTCAGTGGGTCCTGCCTGGCCTGGGCCCACAGGAGCATGATCATTGCCGTGGTCTTCCCTTTGCCCCTCCTCCTCCTCCTCCTCCTCCTGCTCCTCCTCCACCACCACCTCTTCCTGCTGCTGCTGGTCCACCTCCTCTTCCTCCTTCTCCACCTTCTCATCCTCTGCATTAGCATTGGCCCTGGCATCTGCCTGGGCATCAGCGGGGGCACCAGCCCCTTCCTCTGCCGGGGCCCTCACGCTCCCGGCTAGACTGGCCTCCCATGCCTCAGACTCACGAACTAGCCCCAGCATTTCCAGGAATGTGGGAGACCTCCCAACCATTCTCAGCTTCCTCAGGGCTTCATCCAGAGGCTCGATCAGGTTGGCCCTGGTGAGCACCTGCCTCAGGCGCACGTGGTCAGCAGAGGCCCTGGCCAGGGCCCCCTTCTCGATGGCTTTCTGCAACAGGACTTCCAGCCGCAACACAAAGGTGGAGAGACGCTCGCCTGGCCGCTGCTGAGCAGTCAAACACTTCACCCGGATCGTGGCCTGGGACTCATTGTCTCCAAATACCTGGATCAGGGCCGCCAGGCAGTCCTGCGCAGTCCTGGCGGGATTCTCCGCCAGGAGCCCATGCACGAGCTGCAGGGCAGTCCCTCTCAAGCCTTCGATCAGCCTCCTCCTCCTCTCCCTTTCAGAGACCCCCTGCCACACATGCAGCATGTCAGTGGTGTGGTCTAGCCAGGCCTCAAAGGACTCCTCCCCAGGGGCTGGCTGGTCCCTCCCGGAAAACAGGCCCAGGCGCTGGTACCTCACGGTTTCCACCCAGGGCTGGATCGCCTGACTGACAGATCGGAGCCAGCACACCCTGCGCAGCCCCAGACCCAGCACACTGGCCACGCTTTCCACTGTCTGCCCCTGTTGCTCCAGGAAGTGGAGCACGCGACCGAGAAACTCCTCGCCCGAGCAACGGGGCACAAAGACCACGTTCCAGGGGCCCCCGGTGCCTGGGATTTCCCTAGGGACCAAAGCATAGTTGACTTCCCGGTCGAGCTCGACCAGGGCCGCAGTGGCGTTATCCTCCTCGCGAAACACTTTGCCCAGCACGGTAAAGTGGCCCATAGGCCACAGGGCAGCCTCCAAGGACTCTTGGAATTCAGCTTCATCACAGTCCTCCGGGATGCCCAGGATGAGCAGGCCCCTGCGAGCGTTGACGCCCATCCACCTGCACCAGTCCTGCAGCATCGTCACCGCCATCGCCCACAATTTCGGCCCACGCTGGGCTGATTTTAGGGGCTGACCAGGCTGGCGCTGGGGGACGACACCCAGGGGCGGGAGCCTAGGAATCGGGGAGAGCAGCCCAGGTCTCCACAACCTGTGAATGCGAACGGGGCGACAGCGAGGTTAATGCCCAACCCCCCACTCCCACCCCAGCCGCCCCTCGTGCCCCGACCCCCGCCCCACCCCGCGAGGGTCCCCGCGGGCCCCAGCACCCTCCCACGCCGCCCCCCGCCCCGCGGGGCTGCTGTGGCCGGGCCAGCACGGGCGGAGGGCCGCGGGGTCTCCCTGGCCCGAGCGGCCCCTCCCGGGGGTACGGTACCTCCTGCTGGGGCGGGGTCCTCCCTGGTCCGGGCCCCCGCTGCGCGGGCTCCTCCGGGCTGAGCAGAGCGGCGGCGGCGGCGGCGGCGGCGGCGGGGTCGGTCGCCCCTGGTTCCCTCGCCCTGTCGCTGGCTCTGCGTCCAGCTCTCGCTCTCCCGGCGCGGCACGTGGGCCAGTGCGCCGGCGCCTGCTCGCCACCGCTCTCTGCAGTGCGGACGCGGGGCGGGGGCGCGGTGGCGGTGGAGCGGGGACCCTCCGCGTCGCCCCGGAGACCGCCGGGCCATTGGCGCGCACGGGTCACGCGGCCGGGCTGTCGCCGCCGCCGCGGGCACCCAGGGACCGCGGGTGACGTCACCTGCTCCTCCTCCCTCCCCCGCCCCCGCCCTGGCACAGGTGGAGCCCCCCCCCCCCGGGAGGGGGTGTCTGAGTGTCGGTGTCTGGAGACCCCACGCCTTTGGCTCTCCCCACCCGGTCCCGCGTCCGTCTGGGTCCAGCCCTGTCCCCTGCTCCTCCTGGATGTGCCCTGGGCGCCAGCACAGCGAGGGGTCTGCGCCCAAGGTGTCCACTAGGAAGCGGCCTGGGGTGGGCCCACCAGCTCTGCGTTCTGGCCAGGGGTGGGGAGCAGGCCCTCTGGGGCTTCTTTGCCTGCAGTCCTTTTTTCCATCCCCACCCAGGATAGGATTGTTCTGGTCTCTGGGCCAGGCCAGGGCACCGGGTCCAGGTGTGCTTCCATGAAGTAGATACGTGCGGGAATGTGTGTTCACCATGCCACCCTGCCGAGGGTCCACCATCTACCTGGCACTGCCTATCCCACTGGAGCACGATGGGTATACCACGGGCCTATGTGCTTCACTGCCCTCGCATAGGAGGGTGACCCAGCTCCTGGGTTTGCCCAGGCCTTTCCTGCTGTGCGTGCTGCAAGACCCAAGACCCAAGGCCCAAGAACCAGTTTCTGTGGCTTTGAACCAGTTTCTTCTCCTTGGGCCTGTATTATCTTACTGCCTGTCCTTTGGCGAGTCCCTGCCTCTTCTTGTCAGAGACATAACCGGGGTCTCTAAGGCCTCTGCCTAAGTGTGTGTAGGAAGAGGCATTCAGCTGGGAGGAGGGTGCTCAAGTCACCCCCCCCACCCACCCTGGGCCCTCCACAGCTTGATGAGCTTGGGGTGAGGGGCGTTGCTCTCTGTTTTAGTCAGGTTTTTCTCTGCTGTCACTGAAAGACCTGACCAGAACAAGTGTAGGGCAGTTGAAGTTTATTTGGGGTCCCTTCATGGTTTCAGAGGTCTCAGCTATGGACAGCCGGCTGCATTCCCCGGGGCTCAAGGTGAGGTAGGACATCATGGCAGAAGCAGTGGGAGAGGGAAGCAGCTCACATGGTGATCAGGAAGCGGAGAGAGAGAGAGACTCCACTCTCCAGATACAAAATATATACCCCACAGCTATGCCTCAATTACCGCCTCCTCCAGCCTCACCCTACCACTTCACTTACCACTCAGTTAATCCCGATCAGGGGATGTATTCACTGGTTGGGTTAAGGTTCTCGCAACCCAACCATTTCTCCTCTGAACCTTCGTGCACTGTCTCACACCTGAGCTTTTGGGAGACACCTCACTTCCAAACCATAACACTGTCTCGGCCCGGAGGGCAGCATGGTTGTCCGACCACCCCTGAGGCATTTGGGGCATTTGGGCTGTTCCCAGTGTAGGGCTGTTACAGACACTGCTGCCGCCCAAGTCCCACGTGCCTCTCTGAGCCGCCATCAGTGAGGCAGGCTCCAGGGTGTACATAGCCGTTGTCAAGAAGTGGCTATGCTGGGTCTTGGGTTGTACCCATCACTGCCATGACCATGTGCTACTCACTGGTTTTCTCCCGTGAATGGCTAAATCTGTGTTCCCTCCCACCCGCAGCATGGGAGTGTCCTTGCAAGCCCCAAGGCCTGAGCAACCTTTGGTCTCTTCAGCCTTGAACGTTTGCCCATCCCAAGGGGAGAAATGCTACCTGGTCATCATGTGCCTTGCATTCCCTGAGTCAGTGGCGAGGTTGGGAATCCTCCCACAAGTTCACCGGACACTCCCTGTTCCTCTTCCATCAATCTCCTTTACTCCTCTCCTCCCCATCTCAGAGACATATTGTTGGCCTGTTTCCAGGAGAAAGTTGCTAGCGTCAAGGTCGAAGGCATTCTCATTTTGAACACTCAGCCATTGTCCAGAAGCACATCACATTGGAGTTGACCTTGTGGTTGGACTTTGGCTTGCCCTTGCTCCCCAGGCGTTTCCACCCCTTCTGGGGGCTGGGAGTGGTAAAAGCTAGGGGTTATGGTTTGGATATGAGGTGCCCCCCCCCAAAGCTCCTGTGTCAATGCAGGAATGTTCAGAAGGGATGCCATTACGTTATGAGAGCTATAACCTAATCCATGGATTAATCCATCTGATGAGTTAATAATTTGAAAGGACTGCTGTACTGGGTGGTAACTGTAGGCAGGTGAGGCATGATTGGAGGGGGTGGGTCACTGGGGGCTGTGCCCTTGGGGACAATATCTTGTCCCTCTGGCTTCTCCGTCTGTCTCTCTACTTTCCGGCTGCCACAAAGTGAGCAGCTTTCCTCCACCTCACCCCTCCACCATGATGTTCTTCCTCACTCTCAGGCCCAGAGCAAGGGAGCTGGCTGGCCGGCCATGGACTGAACCTCTGAAAATGTGACCTCAAAACAAACTTTTCCTCCCCTAAGTTGTCACTGTCAGGTGTCTGGTCCACAGTGACCCACTGTGCAAACAAAGAAACAGGTGTCTTCTCTCACAAACCAGCTTCCTCTGTTGGCTTCATGTGTCTGCTCCCTCCCCTTCTCCTTGAGGACCTAGACTGCTTGTTCTGATACAAGCCACTATTGCTCTTAACACCCACCGTGAGAATTTCTGTCTCCTCGACCTCAGTGTTAGACTCGCCATGGCTTATACCACATGCCACCCTCTTTCTTGGTTTCAGCCATGATGTTTCTGGGGTCCTTCTCTAGGGAGAGCACTCCCATGGAAATATTCTTGGGGTGGGTCTAGTGTCACCAACTGGCCCAGCATTTGTCCTGTTTTCAGCCTCACCTCTTTCTACTCTCCCTCTCTTCCCACCTTCTCCCTCCTTCCCTTCCCTGCTGACTCCAAGCCCAAGACTCTGGCTCTGTCTGGGGTATGGGTGTGGGCTCAGCTCCCTGCATCCTCACGGGGGCTTGAGCTGTGACACCTCAGCTGTCTTTCCTTTGTCACTTCTCTGCCCCATTGTCTCCACCTCTCAGCAGGCTTGGCTCTCCTGGCTTCCCCAACCCCTTTCCTTCCCTGGTTTCTGGAACCACCCATTCCCGCCCTTCAGATTGACCTCCTCCCTCTCTGCTGGCTTTTACTTTGTTTGTCCTTGGACCTTCCCTGCCCAACCCCTTTTCCTCCTCCTCATTTGCTGGGGCTCAGCATGGTGGAGGAGGGTTCCCAGGCTCAGCCCAGGGACATTCAGTGCCTCTAAGGGATCTTCCGTGTCTGGACACAAGCTCTCCCCTGAGCTCCACACATGTGCATCAAACTGCCCACTTGGATGCCCCCTGGGAATTTCGGAATTCAGGTGTGCAAACTGGAGCGCTTTGCCCCTCTCAGTGCACTTGCTCCTACCCCAGATTTCCCCAGCTGCATCACCACCAGGTAGGGCTCCTCTTCCACCTGCTTGCTCAAGCTAAGATGGATGGCAGGATTCCTTCCCTCCTCTCCTTTATTTCTCACCCCCAGATCCAACCTGTCATAGTCTCTACTCTACTCCCCAATCCCCATGGCAACTGGGGAGATCTAGCTCTTGGCAACACCACCAGACCCTGTTCTTCCCCTTGAGGTGTACTCCCCCTGGGTCCCCATCTCCTTAGAGTGAACCCAAGGTCCCCACCCTTGTCGGCGGCCCTGCCTCACCCCTCACAGTTGGCTTTCTCTTAGGGTCCTCCTCCCCTGCCACTATTCCCGAGCCCCTCTCATCTGATGCCTGCTGAATTGGCCCTTTGGGCTGGCCCCCAGCACACTCAGCTCATCCCTACCTTCAGCCTTTGCCTTCCCTCCTTCCTCTGTGTGCCACGCTCCACCCCACCCCACCCTACCCCAAGAGCTGCCCATGGTGGCAGCCTCCTCTTCTTCAGGTTCTTCCTCCTCTTGGTTCAGCAGATCCTCCCCCTTCTCCCACGGACTTCCTCTGCCTGGCCACACTAGTGGACCTCAGAATCCTCTCTGTTCATGTTCTTACTGGTGGCACTGATTTGCATGTCACCACCAGATAGATGCTTTCAGGTTTCAGGGGCTCCCTCCCCAGATGGCAAGCTGGCACCCCACCAGAAGGGGACTCGCCTGTACGTCCTCGTCCATTTGTGCTGCTGTAACACAACACCGGAATCCGGGTAATTTGTAAAGAAAAGATATTGATCTCTCACAGTTCTGGACCCAGGGCAGTTCCTCTCTGCCTAGGCTGGGGATTGAGATCCCCTTTACAGCACGTGCAGCCCACCCCTGGGCTTGCAGTGAGCTTGCAGCCAGCTAAATTCCATTGGCATATTTTCTCCCCATGCTTCCTTCCAGCTGCCAGGATCCCCCGCCCTGTGCGTGTGCCAATGGCTCTCCCAACCCAAGGGGTGGGCTCGCTTTCCTCTTT